AACTTTAAGGTTCACTGGACCAGATCAGTGGAAATGCACCATTCTTGTGTCCTCTTGTTTGCTAGAGCTGAGTTTTAGAGCAAAATTCCAATACATTATTATTTATCTTTGATTAACTTTAAGGTTCACTGGACCAGATCAGTGAAAATGCACCATTCTTTTGTGTCCTCTTGTTTGCTAGAGCTGAGATTTAGCGCAAAATTCCAATACATTATTATTAATCTTTGATTAACTTTAAGGTTCACTGGACCAGATCAGTGAAAGTGCTCCGTTCTTTAGTGTCCTCTTGTTTGCTAGAGCTGATATCGAGTTTTAGCGCAAAATTCCCATACGTTATTACTAACTATTAACAGTTCACTGATCATTCGTTTACTCGTCATGATTTCGCAGCTTGAAGGGAGAATAAATCGCGGTGTTCCTTGATAAGGATTTTTTCATGAAGACAGGTTAACAAATAGACATCAGTTTTTTATGTGTCTGTCCTCTTATTGACAATAAATTGCGTCATCACATTGTCAAAGTATGGATCCACGAGGCGTAGCCGAGAAATATATGAGATAACTAGTATTAAGATTTAAGTGCTTCAAACCACTTTTTTAACACATTAGGGTCCGTAGTACACCTGCCTTCCTTCTTCGCTATCTTCGTTCCTCCCTTATTTTCTTCCTTGCTCCTTTGCTCCCTCCCTGTTAGATGATCGACGTAACTGGATTCCAAAAATTCAAATACAAAACAGCTATTTTGTCTGGCAGAGAAAATGGCGTACGGCATTACATTGTTTACAGCTCGCAGTGTAGTATGACTACAATAGGATTCTTCAAAGTAGTATGTACGATACAAGTGAAAAACGTCTGCGCATGCTCTGAATCCTGAATCATGCTCTGGAGCTCTGGGGGCACTGTGGGGCACTCCTCTGTGCTTTGAACACCAAACTTTATTTAATTCTTACGGGATTCCTGTGGATTTGGCGGGGAAATGGTACATCCCCCCCCCCCCCCCCCCCCATAATCGAGACATCGTTACACCCCTGTGTGAGTAGAATTTCTAGTTGGTTCTCTTCTGTGCTTCAAGGGTCTGTTTTTCTCCGGAGTCCCCGGCT